CGATGGTGATGACGATGGTCTGTCTATCGCTATTGTTGTTTGTGGTGATGTGTTCTGTAGTTAAGCTTAGTGCTAGTTGAAGTTTTCGCGTTGTAGCTGTCAAGTTCGTTGCCTAAGTCTTTTGTTTGGAGTGATCAAATCAAGTAAATTTAATCACTTCTGGAAAAATGCATTTAATAAGTCTTACCTAACTATAAATACATATATATACATACACCTTAATCAGCTGCGAGCTTATCGGCTGTCGCAATGCATTGTGTTGGCCATTTACTATTATCTCTCACCTTCCCTTATTGATCAAACTAGCTTAATTAATAGCTTCGAAAAGGTGTCATGCACGCTGATTACGAAAAGCCCATAAAACAGCAACAAAGATTGAATAATTTTTAACTTCAATTTCCCATGCCCGGCTATTTTCATGTAAATTTTGTGAATATTGCCAAACGAATTGAAGCATTGGCGCATAATCAACTAACCATATGCGAGATGCATAATCGAAGCCATAGTCGAACCTTTCACTCTCGCCTGGGCGCCTCTATTTACATGCTAAATGCCTATTAGCTCTGGGTATATTTGTATTATCAAGTATGCATACGATAGACGATATTTGCATATTGCATATTGCATTTAGCTATGAGCATTGAGTCAGAGTCTGAGTGACGCGATCATCTGTCTGAAATATGAGATGTTTTTTGTTTCTCGAGCTGGACTCTGTCTGCATAGCCAGATAATATTTTTTTCGGCTTTTCGTTCGCCTCGTGGCATAGTTCGTGCCGAATCAAAATTCGGCTCATGTTTGCGGGACTCTTTCATTAGCTGCGATTATATAAGTAAAATATTTGTCGGGGTGTTGACTTCTAACCGACTGACGGCTAATCGTATGGCCCGAGGGGCGGCGCATGTCTCAAGAGCTGGGGAACATAATAAAGTAATTCAATTAGCCATAGAAATGGCATAAAAAATCAACGGAAACTACAGTTAGGCACAGTTAACGAAATTCGCCGTTCGACGAGAACGAAAATTTATAGAAAATAAATAAACTTGGAACTTAATGATGATAATGATTATAATAATAGTAATAATATATATGTATATACTATACTCTTTTGATAAAGCTCAACAGCTAAAGATTTTTCACAGTTTAAGCTGCTGTGACTTTGACTCATCAGCGGAAATTAATGTCAATGCTTAATTTACAATGCTCAGTTTAGCTAATGACCATGCTGTTTTTGGGCAGGCTCAAACGGTCTACGCCCCCTCTATAAAATTGACACCGACTGAGTTTCGTGGAGCCATTAAGTAAATACAAATACATACATATACACATACATGCCGTTGATAAACAAACCCAACTCTTTTCTTTTGGCGCCTTTTCGTAGACCAAACAATGGCAGCAATCACCCACACACAAATATTTGTGCTGTTCAGCTAAATAAATAACACACAACATAGACATAGCAGCAGCAGCAGCAGCAACAACTGTGAAGCCAATTCGCTGCAAATATTTGGCAGCAAGTCGCTTTGTAGGCCAAACCGCATAGCCAGCTAATTGCAACAACATCGACAGCCATTGCAGCAACAACAACAACAGCTGCCGGCTGTTGGTTAGCAAAAATGCGGTTTGGGTGGCTACACAGCTGCACCATAGCCAAATAGGACTTTGTATGTTTTTTAACGAAGGGGTAATTGAGTATGAATGGGCTGACAAAATTATAAGTGCATAAAGTTAAATATAAATTAAGGAAAAGCTAATTTTAAAACATAAATGGGAAATATTTCTTCAAGATATTAAATGACGATGTACGTGGAGAAAAATATATAGAGATATAAATACAATTAGCCTAAAGGGAAATAAACTCAGAGTTCGTTGATTTTATATCTAATTATTATACAATGAGAGTGATAGAGAGGTGGGAGAATAATGTACTACAAGATATACATAGATAATAATGTAATAACAAGAATAATATACTGGATATTACATGTTCACAATTCTAAGAATAGCTTAAAGATTTTAAGCTGGAGGGAAAGGCATAAAGTAAATTAAAAATATTAAAATTAAAATAAAAAATAAATTAAAAATATTTAAAATTACAATATGGCTAATTTGACATTTTTTTTTTTTTTTTTTTTTTTTTTTTGCATAAGAAGAATAATAATACACTAAAAAATATCGGATATCATTACAAAATTAATATAAAATAAATAGAAAATGATTATTATTAACACATTCTCTTACGAAATGGCAAAGAAATAATAAATGAAAGAAAAAATTAATACAAAGAAATGATGTCAAAGAGATACAATATATATGTATTTAAATTAAGGTTCTATTGTTTGGATTTCTCTTCATTTTTATATGAAAGGAAAAGCGAGAGCTATCAATTTAAATCATATAAATATTGGAATATCTTTTGTGTTGGCTTATGTGCCTCATGAGTAATAAATCATGTTTATGCTGATACCAAACTTATTTCCAGTAATTTCTTTTATTCATATGAATGTTCATGAACTGAAATGTAATAAATATTTTCTTGCATAGCTCTTCTTACAAACAGCCCCAATTTACTTGAACACATCTATATGAACTTTGGAGAGTTTTTACACATCCCTGCTCTTCTGCATGTAGGCGTTTTCTTGTTTATGCTTTCCGACTTCAAAATGCATAAAATATTCAAAAATTAAATTTAGTGCGCGCGAGAAAAATCATAAATGGTAAAATTATGCGCGTTGCATAATGCAGGCAATTGAGAAACGGGCGCCGGCCTTTTTTGTTTGTATTATTCGAGCTACAAGTGCGGGAAAAACTTGGCTTAAATTTAACATCTTTTCGTTAATTAACGTTGAAAGGCTTTGACTTTGGCTGGTGTCGTGTGGTGCGTGTGGAGTGTGTTGAGATTACTTGCAAATTAATTTGCCTTTCAATAAAAAAGATGCCGACTGCGACACCGACGCTGACGCTGACGCCGTCAGCTGTAAGCCGCTTTGTACGGCTCAAGTTGGCTCGAGTTTCAGCCTTTCGCATGCATTAATCAAAGTTATCTAATAAGTATTGTTGTACGGGCGTCTGTGTGCCGTTACTCGCAAATGAAACATGCACAAGTGGCCAAGTGCTATGCACAACCTTCGCGTTTGACTAAATTTTAAGCTGAGACTCGAGATGCCAGCGAGTGTGAGTGTGTGTGTGTCTGTGTCTGTGTGAAGATTTTATTTGCGGAAACTGTTAATGGGCTGGGCTGGACTGGACTGGGGTGTATCACATACGTCAAGCTTTACAGCTATAGCAAAAATATCATTTCAAGCAAAACATAAACAAACAAAAAAATTCATTACAAAAGACTTAGGCAACAAACTTGTTTTGCCTGATGATATAAATATAATAAAAATTGCATTTACGAGCTATAAAAATGGAAAATTAGTAAAAACAAAATACAAATCATCAAGGTAAAGTGAGAGATGTTAACAGATTTTAAAATAATATGTAAAGTTAATAAAACTCAATTAAATGTCTTGGCAAATGTTTGCTGTTGAATTTCTTCAAACTTACTGAGTTATGTGAGCGTTAACAAAAAACAACAGCAAATATATACTAATGCATAATGTGTTAGTTAGCTATAATTAGTTGACAATAACGTCAACCTTGCGCCTCGATCTCAGCTTTCAGAGCAACACAAATGCCAGACTGTATGACTTATTTTGCATAGCATATGAATGAAAAGGTACACACACACACACGAACACATGCACATATACACACTGGGTCTGGCCATTTAACAATGAGACAAGAGTGAACTACAAAGTTCAGAGAGACAAGCACTTGGGATTTATGACAACAATGCAAAGAGCCTTAAACTTTATATGTGAAGTGTAGAGGAGGCAGATATAAGAAAATTATTGTATAAGGCGCAAAGTCAACTGCGCTTAAGTTTTGGTTTCTTTTCACTCTGCTTTTTTGTTTTGTGTTTGTGTTTGTAAACAATATGAGCAATTGACATGGGCGTTTGACAGTTAAAAGAGTTAAGCTTCAGCTGCTGCTGTGCACAGATGTCATATTAGAGATTTTTAGATTAATTTAATTTAATTTGTTGAAAGTGATTAGAGAGAAGATAGAAATGGAAATGGATGACTTT